CGAAGCAGGAGTAAATGATAGTGTCGCCACCGTTGATGCCAAGCTGAAAGATGTCATCAGGAAGGTCGTTAATGAAAACTAAAAGCAGCATAGGACCATGGATGGAACCCTGGGGGCACCCCAGTTAGTACGAAAGTATGTAGACAAGTGGCCGTTCAGGACAACTTTCATTTTACGATTTGATAGTAACGACTACCTCAGCTCAAAAATATACCGTAGCTTTTTAGCTTTAGCTGAATACCAATTGTATAAAGCTTCTGAAATGTCCACTGCTAGAGACCAGGATTCACCGTTTTTATCTAAAGTACGATTGCTTATATCTGTAATTATCTTTCGTACATCAGCAATTGATATGTGGAAACGAAAGCCGTGTTGCTTATCTGAAAAAAGAGCATGTGATTAGAGATGACGAACCAATTCAGCATCGATTAGGGCTTCTAGGAGTTTCGTTAACAGAGGCAGAAGGCTAATAAGGGAGAGAGTTTGATTGGTCAGACGGTTTCCCAGAGTTCTTAAGAACTGGAACAAATGACAATGACTACCAGGAAGCAAGAAAGCAGTGGGTAGCGTAGCATTTATTATACAGTTTAAAGAAAAAAACAGGAGCTATTTCGGGAGTACTCTTCATAATGGCTATGACAGCGATGCCTTCGGGCCCACAGGTTTTGTAGGATCAAGTTTAGAGTTGATAAAAGAAATCGTGGAAGGTGTTATATGCATATCACCCAACAGCAAATCAGTTTTAAGCGGGAAGTTAGGCAAGGATACTCCAGATGTCAAAAGAAGAGTGAGAAGAATTTACAAGCAAATCATTCAGCTTTATCAGCAGAGGATTATAACATCTCAAATCTACTGAAGAGGTGGGGAATAGGGACCTTGCATTTATTTAGTACCCTATGACAGAGACGCCAGTAGTCATGAGAGCCAAAGTTTTTAGAGGCTACGTGATGCCCCATTCTCTCAGCAAACAGTAACTTAGCTTCTTCGAGGACTCTCTTATATTTGTTACCAGCCGTAGCTTATAGGCACCAGTTATGACGTGAGCGGGCCCGCTGGTAGAGACGGAAATAGTGGTTCCTGTGTGCTATTACGGCCGGAAATGCTAGTGTTTACCATGGAGAAGATTACAGCTTCACCTGGTATTTCCGAGAAGGAATGAAAGCGTCCATGCCTGCTTTGATCGAAGAAGAAACCTCGGTGGCGCATTTTCAATTGTCAGTTCAAAGAGCCTCATAAGAAAAATCCCTGAATGAGTCCCAATCACCATGCTGGTACCAGAAAGACGTCTTATGGATAGGTGGTTCCTGTTTAATATACGCTTGGATGTAGATATCAATATTAATACAGTTTGGTCTGAGTTACCAAAAGGGCAGTCTTGTGAAGCCCAGAAAAAGTGAGCAGAGGATATAAGAATTAGATCCAATAGAGAAGCATGTTGCTCGGTGTGGCTCGGAAGCAAGTGGAGCCGTTAACATTTTGGGCGAGGGATTGGGCAATGGAAAAGAATTAATATTTGTATACGCGCCAAAAGCTGGAATATTGGTGAAAAAAGATCCAGGCGGTTTGGTGGATTTTTTGTTATCTGGTTTAATTTTACATCTTTTTTGTTTTAATTTTCATGAAATAAATTTTCAGAAGAGAGAAAACAATCCACCTTAATTGTCACTTTAATCTATCAAAGGCAATACAAACCAGCCAGGGTGTAGCTGAGGGCAAAGTATAATGTGGTCTCATGTTTGCCCACCAAAATTATATGCAGGACACATATCCATGTGCGACATAGCACTACAGTATGCCGAAAAAAAAAAACGATTTAAAATAAGTCGTAAGAATCAAATGGTTATTGTTATTCTTATAAAGAGTCATATTAATACATTATATTTTTACCAACCCTAAATTAAAACACCGGACAGCTGTTTCAAAAAGAATTTTGGGAATTGATGGAGAAAGGTCTGAACCCAAAGATAGATTGGAAGATTATAGCTTCTGCATATACTACTAATAGTCTAAGAGATAGATAGATATAACTAATGTTTACAAGAAAAAAAAATAATAAAATAGAATAATCAAAGCAAACTATTGAATCAAAGGAATGAATTAATTTTAAAATGTCGACATAAAAATAGATTCAAATTTCCATAATACAGATTTTACTTTATTAGCTACTATATTTATCTAACTCTTGTCGAATGTATAACTAATTCTAATATTTACACCATATTAATTGTATCTTCAAATTGCCACCTGTTCAAAGAACTCTCTTTCCTTTATCACTTACACCTCTTTATTTATATATTTTATTTTTTTTATTATAAACATTTTATAATTTAAAAAAAATATAATCATATTTAATTTTAATATATTTTTCTAAATATAATTATTTTTAATTTATAAAATAAATTTTACTTTTAAGTATAATTTCTTTGAAAGAGTATTTTTAAGTAGGAACTTGTATTTTTTAAAACTTAACTTAAAATATATAATTTTATTAAAAACAAACCCTTTTCGTTCCTCACTTAGTTTCAAATTAACACTTCATTCTTCATATAATCCCAGTTTAATGTCATAACTAATGTTTACAAGAAAAAAATGAATAATAAAATAGAATAATCAAAGCAAACTATTGAATCAAAGGAATGAATTAATTTTAAAATGTCGACATAAAAACAAATTCAAATTTCCATAATACAGATTTTACTTTATTAGCTACTATATTTATCTAACTCTTGTCGAATGTATAATATCCGGGTTTAATTTTATAAAACCTCTTCCGTTTATGGCTAATAACTTTCACCCTCCCCTGACTACTGCCTTCTGCCTTTCGTCTGACTGAAACATTAAAATGGATAAATTCTATATCAATTTTTCGAATGCTGTCATAGTTAGATTACTAATTCTGACACAAACTTAGTCTATATACCGGGACTGAATAAAACTGGCGAAGTTTTCGTCTGTTTAAATAGATGTATATCCCATATGAGGTCATTTTGGATTTTATCGTTTACTATGCCTATATATATATATATATATATATATATATTTTTATAACTATAGCGTAACTTACATCCTTACAAATAAACAACAATTGCAAATTGCAGAAGCTTTTTTTCAATTTGCTAATAATATAATTGGATAGTACTGTGTATTTTTTAATACATATATTTATATTTATATATACGATTTTATATACGAAATTCTCTGATGGGTTAATATTTTTCAAAATTAAACTGATTTAAACTCTTCATTATTTTGGAACAACTGTTCATCGAATTATGATACTGGAAATAAATTATTTTACAAAAAGTTATAACCCTGATATATATATATATTCTAACCTACATGTATTCTAACCTAAACACCCCACAAAAATCTTTAAATATACAAATAGGAAAAAAATGCCTTAAGAATTTTTGCCGTTAACAATAAAAATTAAAAAAAAATCCAGACAACATGCATTTAACGGATGTCAGATTTCATTGAAAAATACATCCCTACCCCTACCAAAACGTAACTAATAACTGATACATCAAAATACAGCGATAATGAACACGCAAACACCCCTTGTCTGGTTGAATTGGATTTCTCTGTATCCTTGGAAACGGAAATTATGATTTTTTTTGCTGTGTCTTTAAAACCCAGTAATTTTAAAAGTTACACCAAAATTCGCTTGAGGATGAAATGGAACTAATGTCTTTAGTTTAATTACAAGATTAAATTCGACGCTTTCAGCTTCCATTTTTGAAACATGGTTAGAACTGTGTAGCGAAAAAACATATTTTAAATCAATTAATTTATAATATATATATATATATGTGTGTGTGTGAGTGTGTGTGTTTGTGTGTGTGTTTATGTGTATGTAGGTGTTTCTGCATGCATCTTAAATGCTAAAAGAATCCTTGTAATGACCCATTTTAATATTCGCTATCGTAACTTATCACAAATGCGGCAATAATGTATTATAAACGAAAGAACTCTGTTTTCTTTGCAGCAAATATGAAGATAGATAGATAATTACTATTAGCATTTCAGCCACACACGCAATACATTAAAAACGTAAGAGAATTGGTCAACTTGGCCAAGAAAACATTCTGAATAAAATATGAAATACAAATGCACCTCTTTTATTTGCAATTCTACAAGGTGAGTCGCCAAGAAAATAACGAAAATTGGTGGAAATTATTATTTCTCTGCGTCTCGACTTTTTACCCCATCACGTGACCCTCAAGAGAAGTGTCTTTGTCTTCTTTTGAATTCCGAGAAGTAACATTGAAATTGTCGGTTATTCAAGTCGAACCAAACCTGCAGAATCTGAAGAATGCAATTTCACCCCCGCCGACTTCTACGCAACAGACGACTTCCAGGCACAACTAAAGAATACAGTTAATACCCCGGAGAGCCTTAGAATAGACAGCTGCGTTTCTCAGGACAATAACAGTTTTGTCGCAAATGTGTGAGAACTAACGACCGACTGTCTCCTTTGACTGGCGAGCTGTACTCATCAAGAATAATAATAATTATAGTCATGGGGAAGTGAATCAGATGTTTTTAGAAAAGAGGAAAAAATTCCGTTTGGTAATGATTTTTTTTTTTTTAATATATTACTGTCTCTCTCTCTCTCTCTCTCTCTTGATTTTATTTTCTTGGTCTCTTTTTTTTTTACATTTTGAGATAATCAAATATTTTTAGCATTATGCTAAATGCCAGACGAATATAGAAAAGGTTAGAATTGACAATAACTGATGGAAATAATATATAAGCCTGATGTTCCCAAAGACGACGGAATCTACAACTCATGTGTGATTTAGTTTTCTTTTACACTTAGCTTTTTATCATTATTCTCGATAAATTCGAATTTTTTTAAGAAAATATTTGTTGTATTTATTCTTGTCCTTATGCCAGTTCCATATTGATTCCTGTTTTGTTTTTCAATTAAACTGTCATCAATTTTATATGAGAAAATTTTCTTTTTCTTTCTTTTCTTGTTCATAATTTTCTTTCAGTTTTCCCTTTGTTTCCTCCTCCGTTGCTCTTTTTTTTTTCAATTTCTCTTTTTCTTTTCTTCTTTGTCGATCTTTCTTTCAATGTCATTGTTTCTTTTCTCTTTCTCGATTTTACTTTCAATTTTCCCGCTTTTTTTCTTCTTTGCTGATCTAAATCTCAGTTTCTCCTTTGTTTTTTTTCTCAGTCAATCTTTCTTTCAATTTCTCTTTTTCTTTTCTTCTTTGTCGATCTTTCTTTCAATGTCCATGTTTCTTTTCTCTTTCTCGATTTTACTTTCAATTTTCCCGCCTTTTTCTTCTTTGCTGATCTAAATCTCAGTTTCTCCTTTAGTTTTTTTCACAGTCAATCTTTCTTTCAATTTCTCTTTTTCTTTTCCTCTTTGTCGATCTTCCTTTCAATGTCATTGTTTCTTTTCACTTTCTCGATTTTACTTTCAATTTTCCCGCCTTTTTCTTCTTTGCTGATCTAAATCTCAGTTTCTCCTTTAGTTTTTTTCACAGTCAATCTTTCTTTCAATTTCTCTTTTTCTTTTCTTCTTTGTCGATCTTTCTTTCGATGTCCTTGTTTCTTTTCTCTTTCTCGATTTTACTTTCAATTTTCCCGCCTTTTTCTTCTTTGCTGATCTAAATCTCAGTTTCTCCTTTAGTTTTCTTCTCAGTCAATCTCTCTTTCAATTTCTCTTTTTCTTTTCTTCTTTGTCGATCTTTCTTTGAATGTCATTGTTTCTTTTCTCTTTCTCGATTTTACTTTCAATTTTCCCGCCTTTTTCTTCTTTGCTGATCTAAATCTCAGTTTCTCCTTTGTTTTCTTCTCAGTCAATCTTTCTTTCAATTTCTCTTTTTCTTTTCTTCTTTGTCGATCTTTCTTTCAATGTTTCTTTTCTCTTTCTCGATTTTGCTGTCAATTTTCCCGCTTTTTTCTTCTTTGCTGATCTAAATCTCAGTTTCTCCTTTGTTTTCTTCTCAGTCAATCTTTCTTTCAATTTCTCTTTTTCTTTTCTTCTTTGTCGATCTTTCTTTCAATGTTTCTTTTCTCTTTCTCGATTTTGCTGTCAATTTTCCCGCTTTTTTCTTCTTTGCTGATCTAAGTCTCAGTTTCTCCTTTTATCTTCATATTTCTTTTAATTTCCTCATAACGCTTTGATTCTTTTTCGTTTCCATCTTGATTTCTTTTATTTCTTTTCCTCCCTTTTTTTCTTCCGTTCAATTCGCTTTTATTGTTCTTTCTTTTCTTTTTGGAATTATATTCCTTTTAAACTTTTCATTCTTTTCTTCAAAAATCGCTTCTATTCCCAACGTTTCTACTTTTGATCTTTCACCATTTTTCTTTTACTCTTCAATATATTTTCTTACCTTGATTTTTTTTTCTCGTCTAATATTTAATTTTTTTTATGTCATGATTTTTTCTGAATATTGGAACTTTATTTTTCCCCTTTTGTCTGCGTTAGAAAGATTTCTTTCTTCAAATGGTTTCTTTGTTCATCCTTTCTTTTTTTTTTTTTATTTCATTCCATGTTTTCCTTCACACATTATATTATTCTCAACACTGTTTCTTTTCCAAAAAGAAACATTTTTGTTTTACATTTCTTAACTTTTTTCTTAGTACATTTTAAATTATTATTTCACCCTAAGGCAATGCAGATACTAAGTCAGTGAATCTGAAAAAAATTAAAAAAAGAGACATATTTTTACTCCAAAACAGTAAAAGAACAGAAGTCAAGAAAAAAGTAGAGAACAATTGACATTGCATTTAAATTTTTGAAGATCAAATTTGACTAGAAAACATGAAGCCGGAAAAGACTTCCACAAGCGAGAAGTGCGAGAGAAGAAACTCTTAGTATAGAACTTACGGTTACATATAACCATTTCATCTGTAAAATGAGGTGAACTTGCCTTCACTCCTGTGCTGCGCGTAAATTCATACCGCAGAGGAAATTTCATCAGAACAATTACCATGAAAGTACGATAGAAAAGTGACAGAAGACGAGATAGTAGGTCAGAACTAGTAACATTGGGGATCCTTATTTGTTTTTTATCAAGAATTTCTAAATACGTAGCAGGAACACCAGGTCACTGGCGACAGCAATGTTCTAAGTAGGGATGAATAATAGACTTATAAATATTTAAGATAGATATTGAAGAGAACAACTTTTCTTAGCTGGAGACAGTTGGTTACTGCTTGATCTTTTTGAAATTTCTCTCTTTAGGAATTTTGAAAAAAATGCGTTTCTGATGCTATTAGAAAAAAAACAAACCAGAAAGATGAAATACAGCGTTCAGTTACTAAGCAAATTTTCCTATTGACACGTTAATTTTTTAAAACTATAATTACATAAAGACTTTTCTAATGTGTATTCCATTCGTTGCCGATTTTCGTTTTGTCTTACCTTGTTCCAATAGAGAGTTGTGTCATACCTTGTTCCAATAGAGAGTTGTGTCATACCTTCTTCCAATGGAGAGATTTGCAAAATTTATTTATTTTTGCCTTCTACATTTGTTATTCTTTAATACAATTTCCAATTTCACTTTCTTCTGAATCCCTTGAACTATTTTGATTTTCTTGGAGATCCTTCCTTCCACTCTAAGATAAAACCAATCTAGTCCTTTCAACTTATCCTCATTTGGTTGTTTAAATTAATTTCTTATTGCAAATTTCCATCTTGACTGTTTCCATCTTGCCTTCTTTCATTGGCATCCATCTTATTTTTCTTCGTTTCTTCAACTTTTCCTTTCATCTTTCTTTTTAATTTCGTCTACTTAACCATATATGTCAAGAAGTACTTGAGACAAAACCCGACATGGTATTTATGAATCTCTTATCGCTGAAGGTTAGCGTTGAACAAATAATTAGGTTGGAAAGAAATTCATGTCACATTTGAAGGTGGAAAAGATGCAAAAGCATTTTGAGTCTTAATTATATTTAATCAAGTTAATTTTCCCCATCATTAGTGATAATTTAGTCTCAATCATCTAACTAATCGTTTAACTACTCTAATTAATCTGGCGTAAAATTCTATAAGTTTCGATGAAAAGAAATACTCAATAGCAGTTTTAACTTCTTCACAATTAATAAACCATCTTTCCTTGAAAAGATGACAGTCAGATGGAGCAAGGTCAGGAGACTAAGAAGGATGTTACACAACTTCTACTCGTTGCAATAGATAAATTCTCATCCAAATTATGAAAATAACACTAACATAAAGATGTATTTAACAAAATTACGAAAAAATATTTAAATACTAAAGAGTACATTTATTCAATAAAATCGCCACTGGCTTCAAACTCCAGACAACTTAGGAATCTCCTGCAGCTCTTCTAGACAGTCTTCTTTTTGAGGGTGGTGAATTGTGCCATGATCCTTGCCTTCAGTTCATCTTTAGTGTTCCAAGGAGTTTTGATGGACTCTCGTTCAACAGCGCCCTACACATAATAATCAAGGTTTACAGTCTAGTGAGTTAGGTGGCTTGTGTGTCATGGTGCAGAGTCCTGTGCCCAGACATGGTGTCTTCCAGCAGCTCCCATCTTAACACTGGGAAGCACTACCTCCTCCACGTTGAGTCAGGCTACTACCAAAAATTCGGGAATTCTTTTCTTATCAAAACGATCAGAGTGAGTTTTCCGAGCTGCAGTCCCTTCGTAATAACCATCGAACACATCCAAATCTCTCGAAACATCTGCACTACCCTCAGAGTGACACTCAAACACTGTGGAATATTCGTATTAGAGCTTCCGGTGCAGCATGCCGTTTCCAAACTTTTGTCCGAGTGAAATGAGTCAGGGTATTCTTTTGCTTTCAGTCGGTGCCCTACTGAGCCTACTATACTGTTCAGTCTACAAAATGAAAAACAAATAATGCGCCCGCGCGAAATTAAAAATATAAAACGGCGACAATTTACTCATCGCACTCTGTATATTTACAGTCATAATCTTGACTCGAGTAACTTAGGCAGTATGTAATTTTATTGTATAAGAGCAACGTGCCATCACAAGAATAGTGGATACCTTTTCTACAAAATTTCCATACGATATTTCTTCTCATTCACTATTTCGTCTCGGCTTAGTGTTTCATTATAAAAGACACCTTTCTTGTCCAACTAAACACCGGACATAAGATTTCACTGTGTTTGGCGATCGATATTCGATTTTTTCGCTGGCTGCTAAATATGTAACTCTTGTTGGATACAACTACATAAAATACAATTTCTATTACTTGTGATACTTTTACTTAGGAAACGTTTAGTAGCATATTTGCTCTTCGACGACGAGCAGGGGGAAACTCCTTGCTTAAGCTGAGAAGATTTGATGAAATTGTTTAGTGTTCGATTTATGATCTGTATTGAAATATTTTGTCTAATTCTTGTATTGTTTACTTAGGATTTTTGTCTTTGCTGAAGCACAATATTGACAAGAATTGGATGTCCAGATCGAGAAGAAAAGTTCCTGATCAAAAATGGCAAATCCATTGTTAGAACTTCCATAAACTTACAGCTTCATTTCCATAGGCAGATTTGCTACTACTTTCAAAGTGTTCGATCTGTGTCAACTCATTTTAAAATTGTAAAATCGATACCAAATTTATTAATGCTATTAATTAATCTATAAAGAAATGAATTAAAGATTTCTAAGTAAATTTTTTTTTGTAAAAGTGTGACTTACGGCCAAGTTGAAAAACCGGTACTTGCCCAGTCAGCAAAGTAAAGTTGAGCCTTGTCAGTACGTAAACGAGAGATCGCTTCGTAATGCCAGGTGCTATAATCATGGATGTGCGAGTGGTGTGATAGATAACGAAAGTTCGAAACAAGAAATCGTAAAGCTGAGTTCGAATTCCAGTCTAGTTCGTGAAATTCACCTATTCACAAATATCCTTAGGAATGGGATTCTCTTCTCCCTCCAGCTGTGAATTAAATAGCAGGACAGACTGCGTCCGATAGTCATTTTGGCAACCAGTCTACGGCAGAAAGTAACGGTAGATTTCCGTGGGAACTCTTCTGCCAAGTCAATAGTCCAAATTTGCATCCTGCATGACACATTAAAATGAAAGAATTCCAAAAATATTCTCTACGTGATCGTCAAAAATTCGACAAGAATTTTTTTCCAACTTATTTGTTTTTTGTTTTTGTTTTTTATTTTTTACAGTAATGTTCACTTTTTACAAGACCATTCGTTAGGAGGCAATTTGTGTAGAGAGAAGACAACGATAACGGTTAACCCTCAAGTTGGACGGATTGATTTTAGTGATCGGGGTAGCATCCTCTTGAGTGTCGGTCTCACAGAGCAGCGGTTTGCGGGAAGCAGCTGTCCGAGTTGAACTCACCGATGGAATAAGGAGGGAATGTGAGTGGCATGGTGTGTTCTTGCCGTGAAAGTGTGAACTGACTTGACCAGGAAATGTAGTTCGTCCGAACACTTTCCATAGAAGTAACGAAAGAGTCTTGCCATATCCCGCCTGTCAGAGAGTGGTTGGAGGTTGGGATATAATACGTCATCCCACGAGGGACGCTTTTGGACTCTATCTAGGCTGGAGAGTGAGGTCTCGGCATCAGCCTCCCAGGTATGACAACAGTACTCGATTTTGGACTGATCTGGCGTTTTCAAAAGTAGAGAACAACATGTGGATTCAGGTCTCCTTCTTGAAGCGTTACAGGCGTTGCAATGGATCGTATATACGAGTTTCACCTGCGGGGTCAGATGCGAGTTTGAGATCCAGTAGTCCTTCAAGTCTTGGTACCTCCCCGAGGGGATATCCGTTCATCGTAACTGGTGGAAAGTGAATACATTATGTCTTATTTAAATAATCAAATAATACTTCTATCAAAGTGGATATTAATTTAACTGAATATGTATGCTTCAGCGCAAGTAAAAGCAGAGAGTGATTTCTACAAATTAAGATTGCGTGAGCAAGAAATTACTGTTAACGAAGTTTATATCATTGCAGATCTTGTTCAACAATCGATTTTCTATTAGATAGTTTCTACAGAAGGTTTGATGGGTGTGAAAATTAACTAACACTTGGAAGAAAAGAATTATATAAGACGTCAAGTGAGAAATAAAATTTAATTCGTATATTATGTTTACACATAATGAATATCGGTAT